GGTTATATTTATTGCCCTTCTTTTGCCCTTAATCAGTTACATTAGTTTGCTATCTAAAGACACTGTTAAACAGTGGGTTGTGATTAAGCATATATACAAAAAATGAAACAGACAAAGAGGATGTCATTCTTTACAGAAAAATAAATCAGACTTTCTCAGCAGCTGCCTCCTGTGGAGCGGGAGACAAAGATAGAAGAATCGTATTGTTAAAAAAAACATGTATGCATGGAGAGAATGACATCTGAAGCCCACAGCTTTTCAACAGTGGCTGTGTCTGCTTTGACAGGATGAGAGAAGCAATTGTTTATGATGAATATTCCAGATAAATTCTGTTTTTGCATAAAAACCCATCTCTCTCTGTGCTCAGGGAAAGCTATATTGTCCAACTCAAAAACTGTTAACACCCAGTTGTTTGACTACCTGCTTAATCAAAGATGCTCCTATTCAATCAGTTTTTGACAATTCTGACCCTTTTATTTTACCTGGCAGATTGTTGGTTACAAACCATTAAACCTATAAGTAGGTAACTTTTAGGTGAACATTTTTATTTTATTTAAAAAAAAGGTACCATTACTAACAAAATTACAGCTATGGTAAATGCCCTGCATTTTTTTAAGACTAAGACCTTAAAGCATTTTACTCCGACAATCAGTCATTCACACGCTAACGGTGGTAAGCTACAATGAGGCACAGCTGCCGCAGGGCAGACTGACATAAGTGGGGCTGCCATATATTCAGTAGGTGGCTAAAGTGTGTTGCTCAAGGACACAACAACTGAGACGGAAAAAACAGGAGCTGAAACCAACCAGTTACAGAATGAACCCTACTTCCAGAGTCCTCATCACCCAGATATACATGAAAATAAAGATGGTTTTAATAGTTATTTTCTATTTCAGACATAAATCATTTGTATTGAGGAATTAAGCCACAGGAAGTTATATTAAATAGTAATATGTTTTGAAAGAATCCATCCATCCATCCATCCATCCATCCATCCATCCATCCATCCATCCATCCATCCATCCATCCATCCATCCATCCATCCATC